ATGGCCCAGTTTTCAGACTAACCAAACAGACGTGGGTGACTCGGCTATGTGAGGGAGAGGCCTCTGCATTGGTGAATTTAAGACTGTCGGCCTCAGGAACCAGCAAAAGAAAGAATAACATCAAAAAGAAATGACTTAGGCCATAGAACTGTCAACTAATCAGGAAAGGAAAGTAGGAAAAATTGTTTGTTTGTTTGTTTGTTTTACTCCCCCTCAAATGTGGAAATATTATAAGACAGGTAAGACTCCACAGTGAAGTGGGTCTCATTGTGGCTCCAGACTCCTTCACTGCTCCTCCTCAGTTCCCCCAGCTCTGCTCCTTGCTAAGCACTGAAAGAACTTTCTGGCAAAGTTAATCTCAATTTAAACACATGGAAACGACTTTACATCAAAGTCTGCATCTCTTTATGTCTCTGTACCTGAAGTCCCGTGACCAGAGAACATGGTCACCCTCAGCAGCCACTCTTCCCATCCTCATACTTCTCATGTGTTCACATATTATGCTGCCTTCTCCTCATCTAATCCTTCTTACTTCTTACCTCTCTTTCAACTCTTTCCCTTACAACTCCCATTCCAGTGTGCATGTTTTCCACCCACGGAATTTACCAAAAGCTCCCCAGTACCTCCAAAGATTTTGCTCTCAATAAGCTCAACCCATGACTCTCAATGCTGGCTGAACAATTAAAAGAACTTAAAAGAAAAAAAAAATTCCCTAGCCACACCCCTGCAGAACCTGATTCAATTAGTCTAGGGTCTAGGTCTGTTTGTTCATTTTAATCTCCTTAGGTGATTTCATTGTGGCTCCAAGCTTGAGAACAGGATTTTAAGCATTCTTTCTTAGGCCTGATTGCCCCAGGGAACCAGCCCTTTCCAGCACAGGGCCGCACCCACCTCCCCGAATTGTTTCAGGCTTAGGTGGAGCACCGGAAGTAAGGCAGCCAAGATCTTGCAGACAGAATGAGGACTCAGGCTATGTCAAGGCTGTCACCCCCTTTCTCCATAGTCCCCTAAATCCTTCCCTGAGGGCCCTCATTATGACCATGCCTGTCTTAGGTCATCCCTCCCTTGAGGAATCTTACTGATCATTGGCTAACCTGTCAAGCACTAGGGGCCAGGCAAGGTGAAGTGAAATGGGCAGAGGCAGTGCTCTGCATAACCTTAACTGAAATCTGGATTCTTCCCTGGTAAATACTCTTCTTTTGTCTCTTTCTGGAGACCCCGGTCTCCCACACCTGAGTACTACCAAACAAGAAAAGGCAGTTAAGCTCAAGCTCTTCCAGACCAAGATCCTCCATTCTTATGCAAAAAACAGAGGCTCTTTATTGATATACCCACCTCTCCTCTACCTCCATCCCCACCCTAATCTGCCTAAATAACTTCTATGTCCACCAAGATTCAACTAAAACCTCACCTTCTCCGTAAAAATTGAAGACAACTCTCCATTTTTAGAAAACAGCAAGCAAATCATAAGAAAATTAGCCCATAAATAGAAAGTATCTTTAAAATATACTTCTGGCCATCTACTGTTAGAGAAAACAACTCAGCCACTTTCAGGTGTACAGAGTGGAAGTTTATTTTCACACTCGTGGACCCAGAGGAGTCAGTCTCCAAATTCTGGGCCCCAATCAGTGGGGAACAATTGTCATATAGGGTGAGGGGCGGTCTGACACTCTGACCATTACTCCTGGCACGAAAGCAAGAAAGCGGAACTGCTGATGACAGTTAATACGAATTTCTTTGTTCTTACTCCTCAGTTACTTAGTTACTTGCTCTCCCTGATCCTGTTGACTCACTGACTAGCTCCCCTCCTGGGCAGGCCACTACACTACTAAGGATAGTATTATTCATCTCCAACTTCTACTCCATTGGTGACCCAGATCTTCCATGACAATCTCATTCTGTTCACAGTGGCTGTGGTGAGCAGAGTAATACCCCCAAAGTGTTCAGATCCTAACCCCCCATACCTGTGAATATGTTACCTTACCTGGCAAAATGGAATTTGCAGATGTGATTAAGTTAAGAATCTTGAGATGTGGAGGTGATCATGGATCATCCATATGGACTCAATGTAATCACAGGGGTCCTTAGAAGTGAGAGAGGCAGGCAGGAAACTCAGCGTCAGAGTGATGTGGCATGGGAAAGACTCAACTACCCATTACTGAAGACGGAGGGAAAGCCAAGGGATATGGGCAGTCCCTAGAAGCTAGAAAAGGCAAGGCTCTCCCCTAGAGCCTCCGGAAGGAATAGAGCTCAGCTAACACCTTGGTTTTAGCCAGTGAGACCCACTCAGACTTAGAAGAACATCAGAATTGTATGATAATAACTTCGTGTTGTTTTAAACTACTAAATTTGTGGTGATTTGTTACAGCAGCAATAGGAAACTAATACAGTGGCTGTGAAAATGTTTCCAGAGTACATACATACCTGTGGGTGCATGTTTTCAGCTTTGAGTTACTATCACCTCTGCTGCAGTTATTGTAGAATAATCACTGAGAGATTTGATGATGACCTTGAGTCATAACAAGACCATCAATCATAAAGAAAAGAATAAGCAGCTGTAACTCTAGTACTATACATACTCAATTATGAAAGACATACAACTCATGCCCCAGATAGACATAGTGTGATCAAGCACAGAACAAAAGCCTGAATAATGCATGGTTTTAAACTCTGGGCTCAAGCTACACTGGAAGAGCTTGGAGACCCTGGACTTATGGTCCACTCATCATCACTCCTTTCACTGTCTGCGTCTCTTGCTAAAGAACACCAGGCTTGATTCTAAGGTTATGATCTTGAGGGTGAGGGCAGAGGAAAAAGGGAGAGAGGATAGGGGGGTTCACAGTGTCCATTCTCAGGATATGATAGATGCAAAATAATTAGATTTGCTGCATGCTCAGACTGAAAATCTAACAGGCATGTCCTGAAGATCATTATGCTTAAAGGTGTCTGTTGTTTGTTCCAGACTGTCTGGAGGAGGAGGAAGGGACAAGGAAAAGAAAACCCAGCATATCAGTGGTGAACTCATACATATTTTAGAATAACTTATTAAATTTTAAGAGGGAATTTAAGTTAACCCCAAAGTAGCCAGAAATTTTATGGAATCTGTATTCTTCATTTTCTGAACTTTCTGATTAATAGTATTTTAGCATACTGCTCATTATTTTAGCTTTAAAGTGTTTTTTTTTTAACTACTGCAAAATATTTCACCCTTCCTTCTTCCCACCCAAACATAGAACCAACCGAGAGAGTCAAAGGGATCAGAAAGATGTGTATCAAAACGTCGGCTTTATTACTGCAAACTGTTTGGAGAATAGCCTTTATGTATGGAGCAACAACAGGCTGCCTAGTGCAGCAACTCTGTATTAAGCAGAAAGACCTACTCACTTCCCATCAGCTAGCAAAAGTGATCCAGCCCCAGGAGCAGAGCTGCAGAAGTCAGTTTTCAATAAACGTCCACAAGGGGCTGAGATAGGCATTCCTGTCATCTCTCCACCTTGCCTGTCCCAGGGAGGACTGTTCCCAAGAGGAGTGAGGGAGAAAGAGGCCACAAGTATCATGCTTAATAAAAGTTCTTCAACATGGAATAGGGAATGAATCTTCTCCATCTGATAGCCTCTTCTAAATGATAGAAAATAAAGCTGTGCTATTATTACACTAAGTGATTATATCTAGAGAAATGTGAAAGCAAAACTGGTGAGAGCTAACCGAAGATCCACTACCTCAAAGCACAGGTGGAAGCAGTAGCCTTCACCCCAGCGTGATCAAAGCACAGGTGGAAGCAGTAGCCTTCACCCCAGCGTGATGACGCAGTCTGGGATGTGTTACTAGCAATAAAGCGTGGACACTTAAAAGTTACAATTGATACCCATTGTCTTTGGAAATTAGGGCTTGCTCAAAGTTATCAATATAGCAGCACTATTCTTACCACCTTGTATCAGATTTACTTTCTTGAGTGAAAGATAAAGGGAAGAAACTACATATAGGATTTGAGGGGTTACACGGAGTCCAGTCCACCTTATCTGTGAAGCAGCTCCTAAGGAAGGACCGTTTGTGGGAGCATTAATAGTCATGGCAACCGTGAATTATTGAAATGCTTGTGAGTTGTTAATTTTTATAGTTGCTTATATTATCCCTTTTTTACCTTATTCAGGGATAAATTTGATTAAGAAGGCAGAAGGGGATTTTTCTCAAGTGTGAATGTCTCAGTGTGACACACGAGCAAGAATGACTCTACACACACTTTAGTTAATCATGACAGAAGACCTAGAGTATCAAGCAAAAAACAGGATGTGTGACAAAATTTGTGAATTTTTAATATTAATATCATTATAAAAAATAATAAACACAGCCCACAGTCCATCATAATTTAAATAATAAAATAGGAGAGTTTCGTTTTATTCTACAGTTGTATGTAATTGTTCTTAAAGAGCTGGGATCCAGAAAAAATTTAGAATTCACTTTTAAAGTAACAGTCACAATTTTAAAAAGCAGTTTAGCTATACGATTTATTTTATTATAAAATATTCATTTTGAGATTTTAATGGCTTTATTTAATATTTCATTTGATTATAAAATGAATTTATGAATACTAATAAACAGATTCCCCCAGGCATATGGCACTTTTTCCTTTATTTTCCTACCACCAACCTCCCAGTTCGGTGAGGTTTGTTCAGTTCTGAAAATATTGTGTATATTATGCTTGCAAATTGCTAAGATATAAAATAGGAAACATGAGTTCTTTTTTCTACCATGAAGTCAGTCTCAATTCTTTGCAACATTCATCTCCTTAGGAAAGCTTTATGTGGGCCAGGAACAAGATTTTCCCATTAACAACAAATCAGTGCCATTGGTAGGTGATTGTGACATAGGGCCAGTAACCTCCAATCAGAGAGAAGCTCCAGAAGTCTGATTGTGACACTCCAGCATAAATATGAGAGCTCCCCCCCCTCACAGACCCTTCTCCTCTCCACTCTTAACTGCTAAGGAGAACAACATCTGCAATGGCCAAATCTAACACCAAGAAGAATAAGTGCTCCAGAAGACATCAAAAACCAAGCTCCAGAAAAAGATCACAGCCCTGCACTGACTTTAGCCAAAATTATGCACTCTACATTCGTAGGGTCCTAAAAGAAGTGGATCCCCAGAAGAGTATATCATCTCACACCGTGGACATCATGAACACCATGATCAACAACATTTTTGAACGCATTTCTACGCAAGCCTACAATATGATGTGTTTCAGAAATCGCTGTACCCTCACCCATGAAGATATCCAGAAGGCAATGTACATGCTGTTTCCTGGAAAAAGATCGAAGTACGCAGTGACTTTTGGAAGTGAGGCTGTACAAAGATATGTCCACTCCAAAAACAATATACCGCGTTAATTAAATCTTGGGGAAATAAATCAAACTTACTACCCAAAAGATCTCTTCAATATTGAATTCATCTGTTCTTTTTTATTACATAGCAGTTGTTCCTGGTATTTTCCTTATTTCTTTTATTTCTATAGAAGAATTACCTTGGTATTTTACCTTTTAACAATTTGACTTATTTAGATTTTCCTGACACCAGTTCCCAACGAGAACTGTTGTTTTTCCTGTGAATGTGTAGATCTTGTTATGTAAATTAAATGCTTGTTGTATTGTTAAGGTATTGTCAACCATGTACAGGATGATTTAGTCCAGCTACTTTGACCCTCCAAGACTTTGAATTTATAAAGATAAGTGTTTTAATTAGAAGTATGTCAGTGCTGATAAATTTTCAACAAAAACATTTTCTAGAGCAAACTACCTTCAACTAAGTATAGTTCCTTAATGATGTCTTTATCAAGGTATTAACTATTTTCTCTTTGTTTTTTATTTTCTGAATTTCAACAAGCTCAGTTCACATCCATGTGAATTTTACCTCACATTTACATTTACCTTTACATTTAGATTCGGTTCACTAGGGTTTGTTGTTCTACATTTACAACGTGAGAACACCCAGGAACCTACCACTCAATTTCTAAACTTTAATAACTTCACACATGCAACCGGAGATGTTTTCCAATCCCATCTCCCTGTCCACTATCCTAAGTTTTCTTTCCCGTTCCTTTGCTTTTCTTTGCACTTTTGCTACGTAGGTGTATATCTCTATATAGTAGGTTTAATTTTGCTTATTTTGTAACATTGAAGCCATACTATATATGTTGTTCTCTGTTTGCCTTTTAATCAACATTGTTTCTAAGATTTATACCTGTTGGTACATATAGCTCTAGTTCATTCTTTTCACTCTGATGTTACATAGTATTTTATAATATGAATGTACCACAGTTTATTTGTCCATCCTCTGTTGATGGAGGATTGGATTGCCTTCAATTTTTTTGCTATTATCAGCAATGCTGCTATAACATGAGTTGTAACAGGAGCGAAGTCTTATATAGCATTTGCCATGTGCGCAGCATTTTACATAAATTAATTTCTTTAATCCCTATAAGAACTTTATGAGGTAAATGGGGCACAGAGAAATAAGTAATCTGTTTGGGATCACACACCTGTGTAAGCAGCAGAGCTAGCATCTGAGTAGATTAACACAGTCCACTTGGACACATGCCACATGCCGTGAATATTCTTACACATATATCTTCTGGTACAAATGTACAAGAATTTCTCTAGGTCAAATAGTTAATGGTAGAATTGCTGGATCATTGATAAGCCCATATTCAATTTTCCTAGATAGTACCAGACTATCTTCCAAAGTGTTTTATACCAATTTATATTTGTAGTAGATGAGTAATTCAGATTCTTCTGTTTACAAGAAACACATCACATTTCCTCAAGAAAAGGGTGTTTCTTGTGTGTGTGTGTGTGTGTGTGTGTGATATATATATATATATATATATATATATATATATATATATATATATATATATACTGGGATTAGATCTGAGACAACTCCAGGTGTCTCTCACTTAGGACCAACTCTCTATTTTTCCTAGGGTGGCTCACTTTTAAACCCTTCCTTCTCAGAGTCCCAGGAAATACATGAAGTCCTGACAAATAGACCTATTGGATTCCACTTACATGAAGTAGCACAATAAAATTTTACCATAATAAAACTTGCCTTAGAAAGTTTTTAGGTGGGTATTTCTATAATCAGACTTGAAACCATCCTATTTGAATTAGGCCCAGACAGAGGCTGCTGGCCCCCCTCAAGATTGGCTGATCACGATCAGATGCTCACATGTGCCATGCTGCTGTGGGTTGGCCTCAAAGGCCTCAAAGCAAACTATAGCCCTTGGGCCAAACCTAGAAGCAGCCCTTTTATGTATCTCCTCACACGCTAAGAAGTTGTTTTGTTTTATAATTTTATAGGATATTTTAAAAGGAAATTAAAAACACAAGAACGTTCAACCAGCCTAATGTGGCCCCCAAACCTAAAACGTTCACTATCTGGCTCTTTACATGTAGAAAAGTTTCCAGACTCTATGCAATGCTGCTGCTTTTTTAGGGACTGGGATATAGCAGGTTTTCTGAGCCTTTGCTTGAGACATCCATATCTGGATAAAAAATTCACAGATATGAAAAGTTTATAGTTGGCTTTTCAAATCATTGGAGTAAGGACTTGAGTACCATGTACAAATGGTACTCAACAATTGGGGTAATGGACTAACCATTCACAAAAAGGTTTCATTATAAATTGAGGTGCTTAAGTTGATTGAAGAACAACTCTATAGGGTTCTTCATATGTTATGCTCTTTATTTTTGTGTATGTTTTGAAATATATTTACAGAATTTCAAAATTAGATCAAGATTCTTGGAGAACTCTGGAATTGGATTCAAGCCTGATTATATAAATGCATTTTGTAAATATACCCACATTTTTTTAAATTTAGCTGTTTTTTAGTGTGGTAAAATACATATAACATAAAGCTTGCCATTTCAACCATTCTGAGTATACAGTTCAGTCACATTAAGTATATTCACATTGTTATGCAACCATCACCACCATCCATCTCTAGGGCTTTTTCACGTTCCAAAACTAAAACTTCGTAAACCATAATTAGATATTTCTCCTCTCTCTATAACCCTTGGCAAACACAGACATTCTGCTTCTGTCTCCATGAATTTGGCTACTTGAGGTACTACATCTAAGTGGAATCCAACAATATTTGTCCTTTTGTGACTGGTTTATTTTACTTAGCATCATGTCTTTAAGATCCATCTATAACATACATCAGAATGTCCTTTCTTTATAAAGCTGAATAATATGCCCTTGTATGTCACATCCCATTTTTTTAATCCATTGATCTGTTGCTGAATGGATAAACTTGGGTCATTTGGGTGGCTTCTACCTTTTGGCTATTGAAAATAATGCCACTATGAACATGGGTGTACAAATACCTTTTTTTTTTTCTTTCAATCCTTTCAGGTGTATCCAGATGGAATTCCTACATCATATAGTAATTCTATTTTTAATTTTGGGGAGGACTGCCATTCTGTCTTTTACAGTGGCTGTTCTATTTGACATTCACACCAGCAATGTACGAGCGTTCCAGTTTCTCCTCATCCTCACCAACCCTTGTTATTTTCTGCAATATGTATATATGTATACAATATGTATATATGTATACAATATGTATATATGTATACAATATGTATATATGCAGCCATCCTAATGGATATATAATGGGTGTGAAGTGGTTTAAATTTCCATTTCCCTAATGATTAGTGATGCTGAGCATATTTTCATGTGTTTATTGACCATTTGTATATCTCCTTAAGAGAAATGTCTACTAAGGTCCACTTTTTGTCAAATTTTAGTTGTTTTGTTTGCTTTTTTATTGCTGAGTTCTATGAGTTCTTTATATATTCTGAATATTAATCCCTTCTCATATATATGATTTGCAAATATTTTTCTCCCAGTTCATAGAATCTTCACTCAGTTGATAGAGTCCTTTGATACTCAAAAGTTATTAATTTTCATGAAGTCCAATTGGTCTACTTTTTAATTTTGTTGTCTGTGCCTTTGGTGTCATATGTAACTTTATATTTTTATTGTTTATTTATTTAAAAGTTGTATGCCATAACATTAATAATATTTTAAAATTTTAGAGTCAATTAGTAAAGTCAACATAGTATCTAAAAATAGTCTCACACTATGTAAAACATTAAGCAAAAGTCAAAATTATCTCAATGCACACTTTAGACATCAATTGAATGATTTTGCTATTTTTTCAGTCTTGGCCCCAAGTAACTTGTGACAGTTAAATGACAGTAAGACAAAAAGTAGCGTACATTGGTAGTAGTCCTCTAATATATATTTATCATTCGTTCTCAGAAATAGGACCCCCAATACTTAGCTGAGCTCATAGTTACCCAAGACAAAGATTACACTGCAACCCTCCTGTAATTAAGTGTGCCCATGTCACCAAGTCCTGACAAATGGAAAGGTACATATATGTAACTTTTGGGAGTGTCCTTAAATATCAACAAAGTACTCTTTTCCCTTTTCCTCTTTCCTGCTGGCTGGAATGAAGATGTAAAGGCTGGAGCTGAAGCAACCATTTTAAACTAGGGATTGAAACCTAGATATTAAGGATGGTAGAACAAAAATAAAAGAGTTTTCTCACTTCTGATGACTGTCTATGTTTGCATGAGAGAGAAATAAATGTCTAACTTGTCTAAATGTCTAACTTGTTTAAGTCAGTCAGTCACTGTTATGTTGGGTTTCTATCATTCACAGTCAAAACATTCTAATATAGACATCCAAAAGATTACCAATTTCTAAAAAATGCAGTTACTCTGAAAGCAATTCTATGCTTATTAAATAAAAACATATTATTCTGGAAACAGAGGTTGAAAAATGTCTTTGTATTCACCAGATGTTGATGTAAAATGAAATCTCATGCCATTTAGCGATCCTTTCTCAGATGGTAAGAGCTTGACTGTTATTAACCTGTTGGACACTTGATGTGATTTTGAAACATTACTTAAAATACAAAAATAAGTGAGAGATTCAAAGAAGATAGGCAAGAAAATTTCCAACTGAGTCAACAACATGACCAACATGTGGATTCTTTGGTAATTTGAAGCTAGAGATATAGTGTCATGAAAGATATCATGTACCAATATGAAATAATAGTGCTGATTTTGTAATGCAAATACCCAAACGATAAAATTCTAGCAAACTTAGACTCTTCTCTGAGTTTAGAAACCTTGTTCTGAAAGTGAATCATGTAATCTCATACAAATATATGCTGTCACTTATTATAAATTTTTTAAGACTTAATATGTACACTGCTAGCTCGTACTTGTATGAACTAAAGGTTCCAGAAAGTACTGGGTGATAGGGAAGTACCATTAAGTATAATACCTTACATATGGTACTTATGGTTGATGCATGC